TAGTTTGTTTTAAATAACTGATTAATTTTTCAATGTTGCTTGGCTGGGCACTTAGGGATTCTTCCAGATTGTCTTCTATGTTGAGCTTGGTTCTGATGTCGGTGAATWTACGGCAGTGGYATATTAGATGTTCAACCGTGGAAGTTTCACCGCAAGTTTGACATTGGTCAGGTTCTGATCTGTTCATAAGGTGTTTATGTCTATCCCATKAAATTCTTTATTATTAGGTAATTAAACAGTTATTAATAAAATCAGAAATTAATTTCAATATTTTGTTACATTATTTTCAATAGCTAATAATCATAAATGCGATATCGTTAGGTATCGTATATAACAGCACATTCGGATAAAATTGTCTGCCATTTTTCTCGCAGCGAGTCCACGGTTAAGCTTTTCGATTGTCAGTGATTTAAACAATCAAAATTCTATCACGGGGACTTATACAGGCAATTTAGCAACACCGACGTACATCTGGACAGAAAAGATAGAATCATTCTGTAAATTAGCATAGAGGTACCTATACCTATTACTTTTTTCGTTCGAATTTGAATATAAAATTTTCAAAATGTTAATACTTAACCGTCGATTACAGATTATGATTAGCGGACCACAACCATCTTTGTGTAGATGTGTTTCAGTCTCAATTTATTTTCATTAAGAATTTAGGCACAAAGCAAGGCTCCGAAGGTTACWAAATTCAGTTTGGCATTCGTTTTCGAATAAACGAAGAACTTATAATATTATTACCAAAACATCAACAATTAATCTAGATTAGTTATGATATAAACATAGGCGGAGATTTTATTGAATTTTAGGGAAGCTTTAGTCTTTCCTTACCAATTTAAAAATAAAATAAAATGAGAGTAATGAAAAAGTTCTCTCCGCCTATGCCAATTGGAAGACGCCAGGTATAATACAGTAATAATAAATGATTATAAATATACCTAATCGATTGGGAAAAAATTTTAAAAATTTTAAATTATTATAATATAATTTATAATACCAAACATATTTTATTTATTCATTATACCATAACATAAAACAAAATTGAGGAAAAACTGGMATTTTTACGCAAAACTAGTTTTTGACAAAAYCKCTATTATTTATTCTGGYGCCAGTGGTGCCACCCAAAAACAAATAACTTGCAGATACGTAAAATATTCACCAAATCTTTATAGTATCATTTTCTGTGAAATATAGTTTATAACAATTTTTGAACTGCAATAAATGGACTTTTGAGATAAACAATTTTTTTTAGTTTTGTTTCTCTAAAAGTTTAAAAAATTAGCATACTGTCAAAAGTTTAACAATCAAATACACATTATTTTTGTAATCAATTTAAAGTTAGAATTTTGAGAAAATTAAATCGAAATCACAATTTTTTCAAAATTTTTATTTGAATTACACAATATGTAATTTTCTTTTAGTTTAGAAGTATGATAGTTCAGTTCGACCTTTTCAAAAGTGGACTATAGCCCCCCCCCCCTTGTGGTGTTTATAACCTCCAGGGAGGCGGTATAAGACCAGGAGAAATGTTGATGGTGTATAATAGTTAGTGTATCGTCTGTTGGATGAGACGAAATAAAATTGAATTAAAATTCTTGCTATTATTTTATATTTATAACTCTGACACTAAGGACACTATTTTGTAAAATTTTAAAATAGGTCTATATGGGAAAGRCCCACACATACAATTTTATATACGCCCCTAAGTATTTGAGAAACTGCAGTGGGTTTGTTGCTTTCCAAAATTGAATATCGTAAGACCAAATGTGCATTAATAACGACTTGTAAGGAATTAATTTCACTTACAATCAGATCTAATATTGCAATGTTGAATAAAATATGTTTCTATTTTGAACTTTCCTCTCATATGAACTTTGTTTTTTCGTTCCTCGTCAGGCTTGAAATTTTCCTTTTTTAACTTTTACACTATTTAATTAATATTCTTCACTTTTAATTATCGTATACACGAAGCGTATTRTAAAAATCATAAGGAAARATACAACTAAGAACTACCGATCAAATTGAAATTAAATAATATAATAAARTTGCTAACTTACTTTTGTTRCCATCGTCATCTATACTGATGACTTTATCTTTAAAATTCAATACAGCATAAATAATCACTGGTGGTGGAAGAGCTAGTTTTCGTCTAACCATTATAATAAATATAGTAGGTATTTAAAAAAGAACAATATTGTAAGGACTTAAAACAAAAAAACACGCACGACAAAAAAAAAAAAACACTTTATCAATGTAACTATGTAACTAAGACAAACGTACTGAATCATTGTTATCTGTTAAATAGTTATATATTCTTTTTCTATGAGTTACACTGAACCGTCTGAACTATAATCAGTAATCACTCATTGGAATATGCATACTAAAAAATAAGGGAAAACCTAAAAATAGGCGATTTTTAAATAAGGATTTATAAAAAGAAATCTTATCATATTTCGATAGTACAAATTACAATTATCGCATGTTTATTAAACTGTAAAATGTGACAGCAGCAAGACATGACAATAATATTATTTTTATTTAATGATACGGGATCATAATATTTAATTTATAAAGATCAATCAATACCAATTTTTATGAAATACACAGTATAGCAGTAGGTATATTATAAGAATTAGTATAACAAAAATACTGGTTGCCGTCACCTTTTAGGATAGTAAAAATGTGTCCATCCAAACAGCCAAACATACTACTAGGTAGGTACCTACAGTATTTTAAAGTTTAAACACAAAAACGTCAAAAACAAATGGACATATTATTATAATAATACAGTTATTTTCCCACCTACGTTAACCAGTCATAGTTTCTGAAAACCTCCAAGATCACCACGTGCATTGCACCAGCCGCACCCATTAAAAAATGTTGGACAATTTTTGTCAACATTTAGCACGCGATTTGCACGATTAGATTTAGAATTCGCACGGTATTATATTAGCTGGAAAATGATGAATACTTTGGGCGCGGCTGGCGAAACGTTGCGCCAGTCGAGCCCAACCAAAACTTTTACCAATTTCGAAAAAACTTTTATGCCAGTACCTATTTATCAGGCTATTAGCATGAATTCGCACGATCTTCAACTGAATTCGTACGTCACTCTTTCTCTTTACCTGAGAAAAAATCAACTAACCATTCCGAAYGTTGCGCTCATATCATCTGCGTACTCACTACTCTGCTACAAATGTGTTAAGAGTGGTTAGTTGATCAGCTGAGAAAATATTAAATAGAACCGGATATAATGCTGCTAAAAAAATAATAATAATAATACTAATTAAAACGTATAACAGAAATTATTAATATTAGATGACAGTAAATAATCAAAGAAATATACTCAAATTAGCAAATCCTCAAAAATCATAGTTTTAAAAAAGTTTTACGTTCCAATTTTTTTTTTGTTTTTTTATTATTAGAAAATTTACAATCTGTATTACATCAAATTAATTTAACCAAAAAATATTGAATTTAAAAAAAAATTCTTAAAAATAAACTACTTGACTTACATAAATCATTTTACCATCAAAATTGTTTTTATAAACAGATCTACAAATAAGCCATTTTGAATTTATCCAAGTGTCAATGAATTTTAAAATACATATTAAATACAACAAAATTTATTCCATATGTCAGATCATCTTGAGACACTCTATATTTAATTGGAATTTATTTCACAAATTTGGATTATAACAAAAGACGYTTCACAAAAAAATACAATAAATACAAGTAATTATTATTTATTAAAATAATTAGTTTTAAACATAAAATAGGTACAACAATTTGTTATAAATATGGCACATAGATTTAAAATGTTATCATTTACAAAGTTATACTTWTTTTGATCTTATTAGAAGTAATATAAAATGAAAGAAGAAAGTCTTAATTTATTTATTCTTCAAATGYAAGTCTCCTATAAGTTACATACAAGTATAAAATTAAAATTAATGATAATAATAATAAAAACATCAGAAAAATGAAATCACAAATAGTAGAACTAGTTGCAAAAATGATTAATCCAGATAATAACATTTACCCAGACATATTTTTTTAGGTAAAATTCATTATCAATATTCACTGTCTAATTAAACATTATAACACAACCAATTTATAGTATACATATAGTATATTAAAGTATAAAAATAAATTTTACAATTTTAAAATAATCTTAATAAAAAATTACATTATTAATCAATAAATCACTGTAAGGAATGCAAAAATGGGCAAGAACACTAATAATTGGAATGAGGCTAAATAGGCAAGATTGCAGTGAACTTTATATTAACTTGGACAGTTGGACTTATCAAATAATAATTTTATTTTTAAGTCACAAAATGGTGATTTGAATATATTTTCTAATACTAGATCTACATTATTTCATGGGTTAAACAATATATTTAAATACCATATTAATTGGAAGCACTTAAGGTTTAACATGGTTATTACTATAAAATCTCGGTAAAGACTAAATAATAATTTTTWWAAATATATAACTAAAAAAATTTGAGCAAAAAATAAACTAAGTCTTAGTTTTAGTTTTTTATTATTTAGTAAGTATGAAAAAGCTTGAAAAGTCTCTAAATGTAATTTAACTTAATTATAATATGTATACTATTAACCAATTATGATCTGTTGGCACAAAATAMATTTTTAAATGTTTTAATCTGCTTTTGCTATAATATAAATTAATATTAAAAACACATTATAATTTTCAAGAGTAATTAATAATTATGTATATATTAGGTAATTACGGAATAAAAGTTAAATATTTTACTCTAAAAACATGTAAAATACAAAACAACTTCAATAAATGTTGTAACTTGTAATAAAATACAAAATTTAGTAATTTTAATCAATTTTTTATATAATAATTTTAAATGCATATTAGGTACAGCATTTTGTATTATAACAAATCAGATATATATTTAAAAAAATCTTTTATATTAAAAAATTACATTTAATTTTAATGTTGGCTTGTAAAAATTTTTAATTTTAAGTTTATAAAGATTGTATACAATAATAAGGTTTGTAATTTAATGTCTTACCAGATTATTATAAATCATACCTAGAACCTACCTAAATTTAAGCAACCCTCACTAAGATAATATCTCAATCAGAAAATTAAATTAAATGAGATTATTTGTTATTATTGGTAACATTAGTTAATTGTTCAGATTTCAAATTGACAAGAGCTGCACATTACTATGACTAAATCACAAATTGACTGGTCCATTTATAAATTCAACATTAATTGAATGTTTATAAACCAGATTGAGTTTAAAAAAAAAAACAAGTTTTAACTTACATATAACAAGTAAAACATCTGTACCTAGTATAAAAACAAAAGAACCTTAAATCTAAATAACTACTAAACAAATTTTTTTTTTAAACTGGAGTTCTACATTGTCAGATTACAGAAAATCTATCTAAAACAAAATCTAATCCGCATATAATACAAAAAAAATGATCAGTACCTTATATTAAATCGTCATCAACTGCCATTATCAAATATAATTTTCGATTTACTGATATAGATACATTTTACCATGGATAGTTTATACTTATTATTAAGTTAGTACTATAATAGAAAACATTGTTGTACTGTTATTATTTTTTCATACAGAAATAGGAACTAGTATTAATGATAGTGAATAGCTGTACAAAATAATTATCATAATCTACAATTAGCTGCATATGAGAAAGGAATAAGGAGAAATAACCAAGCAGGTMATTCTTTAATTGTTTGTTTTAAACTGCCGAACTATAATATTGGTAAAAAGTTTTTAAAATTAGTATACTAGGTATTAGTAAGTAATTTACTSTTATGTTTCATCGTGGCTATTTCCTGGTGACAATATTTGATTTGTTAAATTAGTGCTCTGTAGAAGACCTTTGCTTTCTTCACTGCCAGTCACAGATGCACTACTACTAGCACTGTACACAGAATCGTATACTGGGTTTCCAAAATGTCCACTAGGCTGTAAAATAATAATTTAAATTTATTAATATCATTAGACACTAGTGACCTTATAATAAATTATAATATATTACTTTTTCTTGTAATGGAAAAGAACGATCCAGATTAACATCTTCATCATCTATATCATCTAGTATATACATTGGGTTATTGACTTCTGCATTTTCTTGCATTCTTACATGTAAAAATGAACGACCTCTGCAAAAAAAAAAAGCATCAACAATTGGTATTTGTATATATATATTAATATTGACCAATTTGCAATAAATCTTACCTTCTTCTAAGCTTGGTGAAATAATATGTAGTAGCAGTAATGATAATTGACAGTACAATTATTAAGAATATTACCCACAAAGCATTTATAGTGTGTTTATTTTGTTGATCTGTAGACGTATATTCTACTATTAATTGGGTTTGGCATCTATCGCCAACATAACCTTTTTGACAACTAAAGAAAAACATTTTAATTGAAAAAAATATTAATGACATTTTAAATAAGAATTTTAAGTTATTATTACTGGCATGATAATATCCCAAKTGATTCTTCAGGCTCTATACATGTGCCACCATTAATACAATAATTTGCACAAGTAAACYGATCAGTACACCGTGGTCCAGTCCATCCTGAACTACATTTACAATTAGGTTCATCTACACCTGAATTTGATTCCATGTAACATGTACCATTATTATAACAATAACCCAAACAAGATCCAGAGTCCACAATTATATTGCTACAGTCAGATGAACCCCAAAGGCCAACACATCTAAAATTATAAATTTTAAATTAGAACATATGTTATCAAAATGTAACAATCAACAAATTATTTTAATTTTTATGAAATAGCCAAATATATTTTTATTATTATTACCTGCAGGCAGGTAGTCCATCAACAATGATACAAGTACCGCCATTTTTGCACATTTCTGGATGACACAAATTCGTGGTAGCATTTAATTGATCACATAATGGATATTTCCGATTGGGAGGGCAATATATGTGACACTCGTGGTCATTTTTATCACATGTACAGTTACAAATATCAATACGACAAGTTGGGTCTTTGAATTGTGGCAAACATAAACAAGCAGTTCCATTGTCTTTGATATAACATGATCCTAAAAATATAAATTAATAAAAAAAATGTGCTAATACAATGACTAAGTAATTCAGTAATTTTGGGTATGTTTATGCAATAGCTTTAGATTCWTGAAACAATTTTTCAACATAAATAATATAAATTATATATTAAACAATACAATTTATTTATATTATTTTTTGTGGTGCTATATGTTTGGTTGGTATTAATATAATTTGTATCAAAAAATATTAATATTTTTTAATTGAGTAACTGAAAAAGGACTATAATTTCCTATTCTCTAAATTTATCAGTGAAACAGTTGGGAAGAAATACATGMATATACAAATTATCTTTAAATGATATATATCCTTGTTATATACTATTCATAAAAAATCACAACAGCTATTAAATAGTAGTCTTATAMTTTCTATCTCCTTACCGCCATTTAAACAATTATTGATATCACAATTGACAAATTCACAATGTGGGCCAGTATATCCTTCATGGCATTTACAAATAGGACCATTGGAATCTAAATAGCAAGTTCCCTAAACAGAAAAATTATATTATAAAAAAATAATTTTTACTTAATAATTTTAAATAATACCTTAATACAGTAGTTATCACAATCTGATTTAGTGCATGAGGGGCCCGTATATCCAGCAGGACACTGACATTCTCCATGGCCAGAATCAGATAAAACACATATTCCTCCATTTTTACAATCAACATTCACACATTTTTCACAAAATTCACCTTTAACAATTTTAAAATTATATTATTATAAAAAAGTTTAATAAGAGTTAAACTTATACAAACACAACTAATCTTTATAAATATATTTTAATTAAAAACCTGTAAAGCCATCCATACAGTCGCAAATATTGTCAATACAAGTTCCGCCATTTAAACAAACCCCTTTTGGACAACCATTTGGAGGTACAGGAATATCACATCTATCACCAGTCCAATTAATAGAACATAGACACTAAAAAAAAATATATAAATTACATTAGGTTACTCATTAGTTTTATTATAACATTCGAAAAAAAATTATAATAATTTAACAGTAAGTACCTTAAGTTTGGATTCTTCCAGTATGTCTTCATGGAGTACATAACAAGAGGCTTTATTGTGACAATATTTATGGCATTCATACTCATTACAAGTCTTTCCACCAAAAAATGGATTACATTTACAATAACCTAATGCTGATGTCACATTTAAAACACATTCACCCATATCACATGATGGATCACAAATTAAAGGAGGAGTTTGCTTATCTACACATTCAATGTCATCCTAAAAATAAAAATATAAAATTTAAATAAATTCATGTTTATTAATTATGAATTTTGTACCGTCAATGAGGGAACTTCTACTTGATCATCAGCACACATACAAGTTCTATTTTTAGGATTCGTACTCAAAGTACACAATGCAGTATGATGACATGGATTTATAACACAATAGTTTATCACTAAAATATCAAAAACAATATTAATATTAATAACATTTTAGGTAGTTACATACAACTAAGTAAATAAATACTTACAGTCTTTTGAATGTTTATTCTCTTGCATAATAACTAAGTCTGTAGCCCTAAAGATATTTTTAGATAAGATAGTTACATTCTTATCATCAAACTTGTCAATTTTTACAATTGTCGTCAAAAGTGATACATAAATTGAATCCTCAAATAACTCAATATTAGTTGGATGTTTACCTATATAAAAAAATATATTAAACCTAGTTTATTTCAAGTTCTATATGAATTTCCTATAACTGAATATGAAATATATGYGTGAGAACTTCTACTTTTCAATACAATGAAACATTATTATATACCCTAATATTTTGTTGATAAAATTTGGAAATTCAGAACATTTTTAATACTTAATGAATAAAAATTTACAATTATAATATTATTACAGTCATGTCCTAATAACTCAAAAGCTTGAAAACACTCAAATTTTGTTTTTTTATTCTCCTAGAAGTTAATTTTGATAAATTTTACTTTAGTATCTTGAAACAAATCTTCCTTCAATTTTGAGTTATTGAGACTTGACTGTATTCTCTATTAAACAATACTATTACAAACAAATAATTATATCTATATTATTATTTTTTTTTTTTTTGTTTTTAATAATTATTGATGCTAATTTATCCTTTAGTTAATTGTTAAATGCCTAAAATAATATAAATTATAACTATCATCAAACAATACCTTTAGGAAATTTATGAATAACTTTGCGTCCTTTTCCGTCTAATAAAACAGATTCTATAGTGTAAGGCTTAGTGTCTGACCAATACAAACGGCGAGCAGCATAATCAATTGTGATACCTGCAGGGCTACGAACAGACTCACTAATAAATGTTCGTCTGTTGTAACCATCCATTGAACATGTTTCAATATGTGGTTTACGACCCAAATCAGTCCAATACATTTTTCTAAATAATAAAAATAGATATAAATATAAATTTATTATCATGATGATAAAAATGTAATAAAAAAGAATGGTTTCTCTGACACTTAGAACTCTAAAATAATTCAAATTTAAACATATCAAATAGCTCAAACAGATTGAATTGTTTGAGTATAATCAAGTTCGAAATGTTGGAGTTTAACAGCGTAAAAATTAAATTTCATAACTAATATTTAAATTTTAAATTTAAAAATCATAATTTGGACGTTTAATTTTTAAAATATATAAGATAATGATTAAGTTAGAGTTAATGAAAACTTAAGTTCGACCCATGCCAGAATTACAATTTATATAATAATAATTAATCTTTATCATACCCAGACTGAGGATCTAACACAATATTTTGTGGTCTACGCTCTATTTCAAGTTTTACCAAAGTTCTTATATTTTTCCCATCCAGTGTAGCTACTTTAATAGCTTTAGTTCTGTCGGAAGTTTCAATCCAATACAAATTTTTTGTAATCCAATCCACAGCAATACTTTCAGGGGTGCCTATAGTTTGAATCTAAATAAAAGAAAACACATAGGTATATATGAATACGATTTAGATCACAGGAATACAATTACTGAATCAGTAACTTACGATTTTTTTAGCATTATTTACATCACGGGTAGTTCGATTTGATTTATCAATAATTGTGGAATATAAGGCTTTAGAGTTATGATCACTCCAAAACAGATATGTTTCATTTATTGTCCACAATATATCAATTGAATGTATTTTATGAGATGGTATTGTAACAGCAGAATATTTAAATAAGTTCTCATGAGATTTGTATGGATCAACAAAGAAAATATCTCCTTCGTTGTTAGCTACAACTAATAATGCTGGAGTGCCTATAATGTATCAACTCAAAGTAAGTAAATACATCGCATAAACATAATGGTATTATAACGAATAAAATATGAATCTTACCAATAGCCTGACATGATTTATTAGGAAGAGTTACRCTATAACCAGAGGCACAATGACAAGAATGAGTARAGTTTTTTTTAGGTACGCAAATCTGAGAGCATGTCCCATATTGGCATGATGTTTTAGTAACATTACATAGTTGTTCATCTGAATTATCTGGACAGTCAAAAAATCCATTGCAGCGAAGATGTCTGTTTATACATAGCCCATTTGCACATCTAAATTTACTTGAATCGCATATTTCACTAGCACTGGCACCTAAACCAGAATAATCAAAAAATAATAATTTTAAAATTTCTTGAGTAAAAAATTTTTGCCAAGTTGCTAATAAGTTGCTAATTATTATTAAAAAAAGAGCAACAAAAAATTTATATCTATTAAGTACAATATAATACAACATTGAATCAAACAGATTTAAAAGATGCGACTTGAAAACTTAATATAATTTAATAATAATTATACACATCAATCAGTAATTTTATCATAAAAAATAAAAATATATACTGCTATCATAAACTTGTCAATTAAGAATAACTACTTACATGCCGTTTTAGTTTCATCCGAACCATCACCACAATGATCCAAACCATCACAGACATTTGTATTAAATACACAATTATGATTGTCACAGCGATATTTTCCTGGTGGACAAGCTACTAATGCACACATAGTTCGATTTTCATCACTACCATCGGCACAATCTTCTTCGCCATCACATCTATTTCCAAGTGATATGCAATCACCATTTTTACAAACAAATTGACCATTACGACTGATTGAACATCCTTTTCCAAGTTTATCTGTACAATTCCACTCATCAGAACCATCAGGACAGTCTTGATCCCCATCACACCTCCATTTTCTTAAAAATATAAATATTTTTTTAAATATTTACATTGCTAATTTAACAATAAGAATATTTATAAATTGTGTTTAACATACGGTGAAATACAATGATAGGAACCATTACAGTGAAAGTCGTCACTACCACAAGTAATACGTGAATCACATTCATCTTCGTCACTATGATCTGAACAGTTTATTTTACCATCACATTTTTGACTAGCTGGTATACATCGACCATCAGAGCATCTAAATTCACAAATTAATTAAAAATAATATTAAGGAGTAAAATTATTAGACATTAAATTAAACCTAACATTTTAATATAGCAATTAAGAATAAGATATYTATGAATACATTTTTTTAAACTATTCAATTTTAAAGCTATAAATCAACTAATGTCCAATAAAAATCATCAATATTTATAATGTAAAAGTAGTTAAGATAATGTTAATTATTTTAAAAGTATGTGAAATGAATAACGTATTATATTTGGTATAAAATTGCAATCAATTTTAAGTGTTTTAATCAAATTAACATCTGAAGCCTGATCATTATTTAATATTTAAAATAGTACCGAAATTCATATTCTGAACAATTTCTAGGTGAGCAGCCAATTTCGTCAGATCTATCACCACAGTCATTTTCATAATCACATCGCCAACGACCTGGAATACACCTAGAAAAAACATTTTTTTTTTTTTTTAATGATAAAACTATTATTAACATATCAGTTTGATAACACTCTGTAAAATTTATTTATTATTTATGATGATGGTTTCAGTGGTTGCAACAATTTCTACAAAAGATTGTTTTAAAGTGTTGTTAATGTTTATAATAATGTTGTTAATGTTAATGTTTATAAAGCATAAAAAAATAAATAAAATAATAAAAGATTATTTACTAAAAGCACCTCCTTATAGACTACATTGGTTGTTCTTCCACTTGGGGCAAGAATGACTAAGCTTATACTACTCTTATCATTTTGTTTATATAAGTACAGTAAACATTTTACTATTAGTGGGAGGGCATAAAACAATCAGTCAATTTTTCTGGAWTTTATTCTTAGAAAAAAATATTAAACAAAACTTGGTTTACTTTTAAATTGTCCATTATTAGTTACATTATTTTCAAACAAAATATGTCCATAAATTGAATTAAGTTCAAATAAAAATTTTGATTATCTATTTAGTAAAACATAATGTTACTATAAATTCTTTAAAATTATAATTAGTTAGTATTTAAATATTGAGCTAAASCCCAAATCTATTACAAAGTGATTTCAGACTCTAATTTAAAATGATTTATAATACAATTTAGTAAAAGTTWACTCACTTTCCATTAGCACACTTAAAGTATGTTGGATCACAAGTGATATTATAACATGAAGGTGGTTCATCGTCCATATCAGGACAATCATTTTCCCCATCACACATCCATGTTGAATGGATACATCGACCATTTTTACAACGCACTTCATCTGGTGAACATGATCTCGAAGTACAATTTTCTGGTTCATCAGAATTATCACCAAAACCACAATCATATTCACCATCACAGATAAACACATTTGGAATACACTTCCCAGTAATTTCACATTTGAACTGAAAATTATGTAATTGATATTTATAAGATAAAACATATCATACCTTATATTATAATCAAGAGGACACTACACCTACACCCGCATGTATTGTCTCTGTCTTAAAAGCAAGCAATTGTTACGTTCTGGATAATTTATTAAACTCTGTTATGATAAATATCAGAGTGAATTGATCTATTATTAAATTTAAATATTAAGCAAAATAAAACTTTACATAATTAATTATGGTACTTTGAAATGGATTTCTATATCACCTAGCATTAAAAACATTAAACAAGATTGATATGCAAATGCTGATATGCAGAGGCTGCTCATAACACACTATAAAATATAAAAATAAAATTTAGAAGATTTATCAATTAATATTTTTAGTTGGTCAATTCACTTCGATATTAAACACAGATTTAAATTAATTAATTAGAATGTAATTTTGCTATGCTATGTCTTTGACATCTCATAATATACGAGGGTAAACTATTCTCTAAACAATATTAGATTTTTGCACAGATTAATGATTAACCTTTAGTTACAAACGCAAGGCATTTATTTACTCCAGTCTTTTGTCAGAATACTATAAAATATTTGTTAGATTTTCCACTCTCATGTAGAGGTCATGCTACCTTATAATCACTATCATACAATCATGAAAACAAAAGAATCTATTTTTATATTAACAGTAAATAATTACCCCATGCGCACAAATATATGGTCCAATACTGCACGTGTCACTAAAGGTTAATGCTTAATGAGTATAATATTAATATAATATTAGTTTTAATTTAAATCAAAAATATTATTATTTTCTTTTTACCTCTTTTGAACCACATGTTTTTGATTTACAATTTTTCTCATCTTCGCCATCCAAACAATCATTACGACCATTGCATTTTAGCTGATTTGATATACAAGTTGGCATTRGTAATTTACTGAATTTAGAACCATGTTGACATTTAAAGTCCGTATCAAGACATGTATACTACATAATAATATTCAAATATAATACAGTATAAATAACTTATATGCATTATGTCATATTATAATATTAAAAAATAGAAATTCTAAGAGTTTATCAGCAATACAAAAATGAGTCATGAAATTTCCTAGTTTTTATTGGTATGTACATAAATTATATTATTTTAAAATTCACAAAAGAAACTAAATTAAAATATGGGAAAAAATGAATTAAATAAAAAAGTGTTTAGTAAAGTAAAAATGGTTGAGAATTACCACTCCATAAAAGAAAATATATATATAAAATACTGTTTTCTTACATTTCCACAATTCTCTTCATCAGAATTGTCTTTACAATCAAATATGCCATTACATATTTGTGAAGGCTGTATACATTGATGATTTTTACATTGGAACTGCCCTGGAGTACACCGAAAATCTGAACAAGTATCAGGCTCATCAGAACCATCACCACAGTCATCCTAACATAAATATCATTTGTATAAATAGTAAATAGTATCTTAAAATAAAGTACAAGTTATAATAATCTTACATGTTTATCACAATGCCACCAAAAGGGTATGCATTTAAATGTATTAGCACACACAAAATGTGACGAAGAACAATTTGCAATGCAATTCATATTGTCTGGTGCAAGAATAAAATCTTGCGGACAWGCACATGTTCTACCCAAATTTGGCGATAATAGACACAAACCTTTACATCCGCCATTATTTTTTTCACATGGGTTATATGCTCCTATTRTAAATAAAAAGATTAATATACAATTTTTATATTAAATGAAATATATTTGAAAAAACCGGTACTTGTTCAATATGCTATCTACCGTAAATATTTTATCTACTGTAATTTTACTATAGTTTAGTATGATATCTACCGTATGCCCGTATGCAGTATATTAATATATTACACACACAATATACATACTTTATCATTTTGCAGTTACGATTTGAGATTAATCTTTTATTAAAACCCCAAATTATATTATATTTATATTTTATACCTTAGTAAGTTAGGTAGGTTARTAGGTATACCTTTATATTATACCTGTTTAGTGTGTGTTTGTGAGTCGCGTCGATTATATACCTGGTTTTACTGTGATTTATTTATTATTAAATATTATTTAATAATTATTATTATGAGTTTGTCAACTATGAGTTATTTATATAGACACATAATTCAAAATGAAGAGGTGTGCGAAATTTTTTTAAGTATACGCGGTTTATTACCAATCGACCAACTTGTAAAAAAATTAAAAACCAAGCAATTTGTGGTGGTGAGTTAATAAAAGTTCTGAAAAATATTTGAAAACGTGATTCGGAAGGTAATATTTTGAAAACAATTTATAATCGATGTACGAAAAAAGGATGCCAAACATTTTTATTCCATACAYAAGAACAACAACTTTTTTACGTATATGGATAAAAATGGGAAGTGTAACAGTGGTTTAAGTTTGTGCRATATCGTAGAACTTGTTTGGTATTGGGTATTTCAAATAAAGGTAACACAAGCCGAGGCGTTTACGAAAAGATCTAGACCAACTATAGTTGACTGGCATAATTTATGAAGAGACGTAGCAGTAGCTGAATTTCAAAAACGTAAAAAAATGGGAGGTCCTGTCCTATAGTTGTGCAAATAGATGAATACTTGTTCCAAGGTAAAAGAAAATATAATCGTGGAAGATTACGTCTTGAAGATTGCAAACCCGAGGAAATGTCTGATGAAAATGAAGAGAGTTCAAATGAAGACGAAGTAATAAATAATCAAAATTACGGACAACAAATTCAAGGACCATGGATTTTTGGTTTGTGTTGTAAGAATGATACCATTTTAGAGAGACGTTTTTTTAAAGTTGAAAAGCGTGATCGAAATACCTTACTACCAAATATATTAAATGAAGTTGAACAAGGTACTACTATATATTCCGATAAATAACGTGCATATTCTACTTTAAATGAAAATGGGTTTATCCACAAAACGGTTAATCATTCAGAAAATTTCATTGATCCAATAACTGGTGCTGARACCCAAACTAWAGAAACTCTTTGGAGACACGTCAAAAATAAATATAACATTAAAACCCGGGGAGCGACTGACATATTACCATCACAACTTCAAGAAGAGTGGTGGCGCTCGTTACAAAAACCAAATGAAGACCTCTTCGAATTATTCCTTGGAGCGATCAGAAATACGTATACATAACTACACAGTACACAAAAATGACAAAGAAGAAATTCTGCATTATAAAAGTAAGACAATTTACATTTAAATACGTGTTGATATCATACTTCACCAACATAAAATGACGGTAAATAAAAATATAAAATATTAATGGTAGATAGCATACTAAACCATCAAACGTGCAGTAGATAGCATATTGAACGAGTACCAAAAAAACCTGAGTGATTAAAAATATAATTAAGATCTGTTTAAGATCTGTTTAACCAATATAAAACATTAATTTTAAACATTAAATATAATTTAAGTCTTTAAATAACTAATTAGTTAAGAATTATTYTAATTTTAATTTATTTACTTGATGGTTGTAAAAGAGGATGTACAACTTTAATATCCATCGGCCTGTAAAGAAGTGATGTAACATTTCGACATTCTTGGCCTGAATATACATGACATTTATGAATGCTTTTTGTTTCCCAATCAGACCAATAAACAAAGTTTTCAAATAAAGTGATAGCAAATACATGATGTATATTCATAAAAGGATCAATTTCTAAAAAATTAAATAAAAAATATGTTTATCACAAATTGAAACAATATTTTTATAAATAGTAATGGACTAACTTCTACTCATAATAACATGTCTATTGTTTCCATTTAAGTCAGAATAAGCAATATAGTCCTCTTTTGCATCAGCCCAAAAAAGTTCTTCTGTAGCTAAGCTTATTACTAAGGCATTTGGCCAACCAAGAGATTCATTTAAAATAGCTTTAGGCTCACTACCGTCCATTCCAGCCTTACCAATATAAGGCACGTCCCCCCAATCAGTCCAATACATATATCCTCGAATAGGATCTAAACTGATGGCCCTAGGTTCTTGTAAGCTTTTACTTATTAAAACTTTTCTAAATTGACCATTTAACTTAGACACCTCGATTGTGTCTTTACCCTTGTCACACCAATATAAGTTTTTAGCAACCCAGTCCACCGCAATACCATCAGGACTTTTAATGACTGGGCCATGTAATCTCTAAATAAATCATATAAAATAATAAATATAAGTTTTGAGATTAAACATTAATTGAAATTGAAAAATCATTATACCTCAGAAGCCGTGTCTTTGCATTTTCGTTTGATTGTACTGCCTTGATTGGAAATGTCAGACCAATAGAAACAACTATCGGCATAATCATAATCAACCGCAACAGCATTAGTTAAATTATCTACTACAATTTCAATTTTCATTCCTCGTAAATCAATTTGTTTGATATTGTGTTTATTAGCAAAAATAAGCATTGGCTTTTCAACTAAAAAAATCAATTTTAATTTTTAATAATACAAATAGTAATTTGTTTTATATTATAAATTTTGATTAAGGTATTACTTGTTGAAGCTTTGCATGAAAAACCATCTCGTAATAATGTATAACCTGCAGTACAGTCACATTTATAAGATCCTATGGTGTTATAACATATTTGGTTACAAGGTTTTGTTATTTCAGTAGAATTGCATTCGTTTATGTCATGGCATGAGGTACCCACGGACTTATAGCCAGGATGGCATTTACATTCATAACCAACAGGATGATCTATACAAATATGCTCACAAGGACGAAAAATTTGAGTAATAGATTCTAGTGCACACTCATTAACATCTGAAAATTTTAGATTTGGTTTATTTTTATTCCATACAATTATTAAATAAACTATTAATTTTAGTATAGTTAAACTAATTTCATCTTATAATTTAATTATTACACAAAAACGGATATCACGCCTATGTAAATACAATAAATAAATAATTTAATAAATACTCACTACACTTGTCTTCATCACTAAAATCTCCACAATCATCTTGTCCATTACAGGTAAGATTTGCATTGATACACACTTTATTATGGCAAAAGAAATTATTAGGCCATGAACAACTTTCATTTTTATAATGTTCTAGAATTATTTTATAAAAATTAATTGTAAAAAAAAAAAAAAAGTAGATACTAATAATTTGAATACTTACTACACACTTCGGTGTGAAAATTCTCATCAGAATTGTCACCGCAATCATTTTTACCATTGCATACGTCAGTTAATAAAATGCAAGCACCATTTTCACACATAAATTCTTTAGCAGAATCACATACCTTACAGTTTTCAGGCTCATCTGAATTGTCTCCACAGTCATCATGACCATCACAATAATATGCCTAAATATTAAATAATATAAACCTATAGTTCAACTACACGTATGTTGACTGTAGTTTAGAAAAATTACATACCTCAAAAATGCATTTCTTATTAACGCATTCAAACTTGGTTATAGGACAAGTTGAATTGCTAATTAAACATTTTTCTTCGTTCTCATCAGAACCATCACCACAATCATCATCTTTATCACATACCCAAGTAGATGGTATACATCGTCCAGTTTTATTACAATGAAAATCACTACTTGAACAATTTCTACTTACTACATAGAAAAAATATATTTATCAATTAACTCAATTAATTTAAACCATGGAAAAAAAATTAAAAACACTTAACATACAGCAATTTACTGGTTCATCAGAACTATCCAAGCAATCTGGAGTTCCATCACATAGCCATGATGCTGGTAAACACTCGTATGTTTCAAATTTGGTTTTGCAATAAAATTCAGTTGATTTACATTTTATAGCTAAGAYATAAAATATTAAATAATAAAAATTTTAAATTTAATAATTATTAAAAACCTTCAAAAAAAAAAAAAAAACTGAATAAAATTTAGTAGGCCTAAGCAAATGAAAACGAAATGTATTTAACATTGTACACCTATCCTAACATAAGCAGTTATAATGTCCCTCTAACACAAAAAAATCTCTATTAATTTATATTCTCACTTCTCAGATCCAAGTGATACTAATGGGATTCAACAGCGTGGCTCAGTTAATCTTTAAAATTCAACCATCAAAATTATTGTATCTATCTTAAAATATCTATATTTTTCATTAAAATACTTTAATTGTAATTTCATTATAAATCGTCAAACTTCTCTACCAGTAAGTCAATTTTTTTCAATCACCTAATCTTTCCTTGCAAATTGACTTAATCAACTTTATATTCAATTTTTATTGTTGTTTGATATTGTTTTTACTAGTTTTAGAACAKTTGAAACTTTAACACAAGGGTCCCCATAATGGCAAACTACATAATTTAGTCACTACCAACATTTTTATACTTGACTTCAAGTTATATGCATGCAAAAGTTTTTTTTTTTAATACTTATTGTAGATAATAGGTTTAAAACAAAAATTACTCACGGCAATTTATCTCATCTGAAGAAGGCAAAGAGGTATTTGATGAATCACCACAATCATCATCACCATCACATTTCCATGATTTAGAAATACATTTACCATTTGAACATTTAAAATCAACAGATGAACAATTATTTTCTTCAGGAGYTAGATGTTTTACTAAAAAAATACATATTAATACWTACTAACTAATAACTATTAAAACTATAAAAAGTAACTATAAAAAAATGTRCTAACTTGTTGAGCAATTTTGTTCGTCACTATTATCCCAACAATCATTTTGACCATCACAAATCCAATTTGGATGGATACAAGCAGTAGTTGTATTACAGCTTATTATTTTAGCATTTAAAACCAAATCTTCGCAAATCTTAAGATCTTAAAATAGAAATTATTAACATAAATTATAAAGCATGCAATAAAATAAGTAAATCATTTTTCAAACATACCACAACCAATTTCATCACTTGCATCACTACAGTCAGGATCATGATCACAACGTAAATTTGGAGCTACACATTCACCAGATTTACAACGGAAGAAAGTAGTATTTCTACAAGAACATTCTAATTCGTCAAAACCATCCAAACAATCAAAAAGTCCGTCACATTTTTTGCTATTTGGACGACATTGTTTTAAATCTGGGCAAGAGAAAAATCCTTCTGGACAAGATCTTGTGGCTATTAAAATATTATTTGGATAAGAATAAAAATCTACAATAACATATTTAAATTTAATATTAGATTAGGTGCTAACCACAATATTTTAAATCTTCGTCAGATTCATCAAGACAATGGTTTATACCATCACAAGTGTTTTCAAAGGGTATACATTCATTAGATGAACACCAAAATTCATTATTTGAACAATTATTTTCTAATTTGTTTTCAACACATCTATGTTTATCGGGTAGAAGTGTACGGTTGTTAAAACAAGAACATTCAACAGCACCTTTAATATTTAAATTGCATTTATCTTCACACTGTCCATTGAATAATCTGCATGGATTTCTACTACCTTTAGACATAATATAATAATATAATTTACTAAAAACAATATAAAATAATAAGCTAGAATTTACAATCATTAATATTTTCAGCAACTGCGACTATCCCCATAGGTCTATGGACATCTTTTCTTATCCATGCAATATTTTCACCAGTGTATTTGTCAGCTCGTAAGACTGCATTTAACATCCAATCAGTCCAAAAAAAATAATCACCATATACAGCAATGTCAAATGGATGTTGAGGATATAATTCAGCAAGTACCTATTATAGAACAAATTTGTCAACATTTTAGATATTACATTTTTCAATAACTTATAACAAAAAAAAATTAAAATACCACGCGATTTGTTCCATCATATTCACATCGCTCGATTTTATCTAACTTTGCATCGCCCCAATATAGTTTATGAGTTGTATGATCTATTGTAAGAGCATTAGGAATCTGAATATCAGTTGTTATAATTGATTGTAACATAAATCCATTAACATAAGCTCTTTGAATGCTCGGTTTTAAATCATTCCAATTGGTCCAAAAAATCAGTCTAAATAAAATTATTAAAAAATATTTAAATATTACTATAGACACAAGTAAAACAATTCAATCAGATAATTAGGGAGTAAATAGTAGTTAAAAATAATAAATATTTTAAAGCGTAATTTTYGTTAGAAACATTATTGTATAATTAGTACACATTTTTGATGAAAAATAGATTTATTATTTATAAATAATTGCAATTAAACAAAGGAAAAGATTTTGTTGTAAAAGTCCAAAGATGGGCATAAACTAAAAAATTAGACTAATTTTTTTTAAACTATTTAATTTAGCTGATTAAATTGAAGGTTAAAATAACTTAGCTTTTTTTAGTTAAATTCAAAATAATACTAAAATTGTATTATATCTTTGGTTTTAGACATAAATAAATTAAATTAATCCAATTCTATAAAAATACTAAGATTTTTATTATTTTTCATGATAAATTTTTTTTTTAGATATATTTTAGTAGATTAGATAGGCTAATAATAATAATATTATATAAAACTTAAATTGATATTTGATACCTATTTTGATATGTGATAATTAATATTTGCTAAATTATTAGTTAAGATGTGTATAGTTTAAATATTTAATAATCATGTAAAGTAAATTTATACACATTATGATAAAAATTCAGTAAACATTTTTAAAATGCAGTTTATGTTTTTATCCATAGAACTTTTAATTTATTGATCTCGTGTTTCTTAATTTAATTTAACATGAGTAAATTATATGCAAAAACTTGCTCATTTTTRTACTAAAAACAATAGCTAAAAACTTAAACTCTAATGTATTACCACCTCTTTTAGTTAATTAAATTGATTWAATTTAGTTCTTTTTTAAATTATTAATTAAAATGACTTTGAAAGTTAAGTACAGTACAGTGTTACACAATATTTTAAGAAAAATTTAAAGAACCAGCATTTTTAAAACATTTAAATTATTAAAATTAAAAAATTACTTACATCTCACAGATGTCAATTGCTATGCCACGTGGTCTATCTGATTGTCCTAATTTCAAAACTATCTCAGGAACAGCATCTGGTTGGCTTAAATTTAATCGACTTATAGATGCATAACTGTTTGTCCAGTACAACATATTTTCACTCATTTCATAGTCAATACCTTCTACAGAACCTTGATCTAATAATAAATTATGAAACAAAAATTAAAATTTAATAATTTAGAAAAAAATTTGAATACATACTTTCTGCTATTACTCTATGGCCTGTATTATTAAAATGAATAGCATCAATAGTTCCACGTTGAATATCAGAGTAAAATAATAAAGAACGTGCATAATCATAAGACAAAGCAATTATATTCTGCATAAAAGTTTTTGACTGCATGACTCTAAATGGTGTGTTCAAATTTGGATTTTCAAATATAGTAACACTATCAATTTTATCCACTCGAGAATACATGAGAAATGTAGTATAATCTAAAATTATAAATATTAGCAATAGGTGATGAAAAAAATTACATACAAATTTAAAACCTAATTAGATGAAAAGTAACCAAATATCATTAGCTAATTTCTAAGTAAAAATACCTTCACATTTCTTCCCATCAGATCCAACAATACCATGTGCACAAGCACAAACCCCGTGGGTCCCATTAAATAAGCATAGTTCTTGACATCCTCCATTATGAACAGTACAAATATTAGATCCCTGGTGACGACTTTTTGAAAATATTTGCACATCTTTTGGATGTTCTCCAAATTCTCGTGTTAATTCCTCAGATGCAGATAAATTATTAATAGGGGAAACCATTAATGATGATGAACCTTGTACTTGCATACTGAAATAATATAAGTTTCTGAGTTATTAAACATTAATTTAAACATAGGTAAACAACTTACATTCCAAGCCAATAAATATAACCATTATGTACAACAACACTTGCAGGGTTACTATCTTTATCTTCATATAATATTTCATATTCAGTACCATCATAATTACAACGGCCAATCAAACTTTGTTGACAAAAGTATAATTTGTGGTTCTGTTTTTAAAATAAATATAAATAAATGCTTAAATAAATGCATTTTTTCTTACATATTATATTGCTGACAAATATTAAGTAAATACCGTGTAATCCAATGTAATATCTTCGACATATGGTTGATCTTTATYAAGTAAAATACTCTTTCTATTCATACCATCTAAAGTCGCTCTTGAGACTCCATGATAACGTCGAATACTCCAAAAAATAAAACCAGCAACAGGATCTACAGCCAATGAATTAGGCCTCTCCATGGTATCTCCACTATCTACCACCACATAAGCATTAGATCCATTAAGATAAGCCACTTGAATAATATTTAAAGACGGATTAGCCCAATAAATATGGCCAGCGATCCAATCAATAGCAATTCCTGAAAGAAAATATACATTTAAAAAAAATTGCATTATATTAATTCTAAGTTTTAACAAGACATACCTGATACCCAAGCACCTGATGTCTCACCAGAATGTTCATGATTTACAATTATTTGTCGACCAGTTCCATCACGTTTTATTCTCATAATAGTGCCTTGCTCATCATCCGACCAGTATATATATTCTAAGAAATATTATTTTTAATTGAAATAATAAATAAATTGCATTGTTTACTAAACTATTACCTTCATAAAAATCTATGCTATATGCCATTGATGTTTTAGATAGTGGACTTAGAACTTGACTTGAATCATTTTTTACTAAAGATATGCCTTTGATTTCAGACTCCACGGTGTATAGTAAAAATTCACTGACACCAATGCATTTTTTCTTATCTTTTGGATCAATAGTGTATCCAATAGCACAACTGCAAACCCAATGATCAGCAGAAGTAGGTAAACAAAGATGAGAGCACATTCCTCTATTTTTTGAACAAGGGTTGATGCCCATTTGTAAAGATGGATCATAAAGACTCAATGCATACACATCTGTTAAGTAAAAATGTATAAAATTAATATTATATAGGAGAAATTTAACTTTTATTTTTGTATTTTAAGAAGAAGTGACACCAGATTTCTCCATATTCCAAGTGCATAATATATTAAAATTTATGCTCAGCAAATCACATTTAGCTTAATTGTTTTAAAAATTAGAGTGAAATGACCTATTATAACATTTAAAGGTAAAATTATTATCTAGGGCAAATTATCATAGGCCCTTATTTTATTTGAATTTTAAAGCATATGAGATGCCCCCTAGATAAAAATCTTACTGTCAAATTGTATAATAGGTTAATCTACTCTACTATTTAAACTAACGAAGCAATATATCATCTACTGAGTATCCAATTTGTTATRTTACACACTTGTAATACAAAAACAACACATGCCACTTCTACTTAAAGCAAATTTGATACATTTACAAAAATTAAAAATATTGCACCAATGTAAAACTATATAAGCACAAAAAATATTTATTATCTTTTTTATTTTGAAAATTTTATAAATATGATGATTTTTAAGCCAAAAAATTTAAAAATTTTAGGACTTAAAAATAATAATTCATATTTTATTTCTTAGATATATTTAGATAATAATAAATTACCTGCAGTTATGTTACGAAAAATAACATTTTCATCTCCAGTAATTTTATTTGCAACTCGAATATTCATTAATCTGTTGTCCACATAGTATATATTATTTTTATATAAAGCAATAGATGATGGAAAACCTTCTTCTGGTAAATTTAAAGAAGGGTTTATCCTAGAATCTTGTATACTATAAGACTGTATAGAATGTTTATCAGAATTAACCCAATAAAGTGTATTTGTTTCTTGATCAATAGTTAAACCTAAATGAAATAATAAAATATTCACATTAATAAAAATTATATTTATAGAACCATTTAAAAAACAACTTTTATTACAACACTAAATAAAATATCTAATATGTTCATATCGTAGCTCGTAGCGACAGCATATTTGCTCAAGACATTTAAATTTATAATAAGGGAATAGAGTTATATGCAAATGCATGTTATACATATTGAAATAAGCTATTCTAAATTTGATGAGAACTGTCCCTGATTTAGATTATTTTTATTACGATAACATTTAATGTACTTTGTATATATTACATATTTCAATGTTTTCACCTGTTTTTTTCATATGCAATACATATTTGTAATTTCAAAGAGCACATTTTTGTTTCGTCTAATATTTTCACATTCATGGCCACATAAATGAATCATTGAT